TCCAGGTTACATCTCTAAGGGGACTCACTTCCTTTCCAACATTAAAGCAGTGGTAATAAGCATACTGCACAATGGGCTCTTAGATTTCTAACAAATATTATTAATAAATTTTATCTGCATAAGACCTTTATTTCTAAAGCACTTTTCTAGTGTTGTCATAACAGATGATTGATTTGCCTAAAATCATAAAGCTAGTTAACAGTGCAATCACTTAATTAAATATACCCTTTTTGGGCTGGGTTTGTGGCTCTGACAGAGAATGCTCACCTAGCATGCATGAGGCACTAGGTTTGATCCTCAGCACCACATTAAAAAAAAAAAAATTATGTCCACCTATAACTAAAAAATAAATGTTTAAAATTAATAAATAAACCCTTTTCACTTAATTGTATTCATTCATCATATATTTACTGCATGCCAGAAAATGTACTAGGTAAGAGAAACACAGGTGAAAAAGAAATACTGAGGTGAAAAACACTAATAATGTAGGAAAGAATATAGAAAAACAAAGTGGCTTTTCTTTTTTTATGGTACTGGGGTTTGAACCCAGGATCTTGCCACATTAAGCAAGCACTCTACCACTGGGTCATATCTCCTGCCCTTTTTATTTGATATAGGGTTTTGCTAAGTTGCTGAGTATGGTGAGGAGTTAGTGGTCCTCCTACCATGTGGCTGGAATTAAAGTATGCACCATCACACCCAGCAACAAGGTGGTTTTTCTAATACAGACACCCAGAGTACTGAAAAATAAAAAAATTGTCATTTTTAAGAATGGAGCTGGGGGGAGAAAAAGGAAAAAGATAAATTGAATCAAAATTAAATATGATCTGAAACTACCACTCAAGGCTTTCCCAGAAGCAAAGCAACATACCTAGGTCCATCCCATTATTGCCTCATGGATACCATGTACATTTCATATCTAAAAAAGACATTTCAAGCTTCCTTTTAAAATGATGAGAGGAACAGAGTTACTTTTACTCTTTACATTTTATTTAGTAGGGCCTTTTACAATTAAAACTAGGTACAAGTTTGTAGTATTGAGAAATATTTACATATATCAGCCACAGTAGCACACACTAATCCTAGCTACTAAATAGACTGAGAGGAGTACTGCCAAATTCAAGGCTGACCTTGGTAGCTTAGTGAGACCCTATCTCAAAATAAAATATAAAGGGTGGGGATGTAACTTAGTGCATGAGGTACTAGGTTCAATCCAGCACACTATTAAATAAAATAAAATAAAATCTTGAGATAGGGTCTCACTTAATTGTCCAGGCTGGCCTCAAACTTAACAATCCTCCTGCCTCAGTTTCCCAAGTCACTGGGATTATACCTGTGGGCTCTCATGCCCAATTCCAGGTATATGATCTTAAACAAAAACTTTATCTTTTGCACAATTACAAAGAAAGTATTGAATATATTTATGTTAACAATCTGTTTCTTGCTCTGCCTTATACCTTTTAGTTTGTTCCTCTAAAATGCAAGTAGTTCTCAAGTCAGGAGGAGAGCCTAAAGCAGCTTAGGGTAACTTAACCCTATGTTTATATATTCCCCACAACCTGTCACAAATGAGACATCCACAATCCTTCAGTAAAAAATACAATATTACAGTGCTGGGAGGCCCTCAATGCATTCTAGGCAAATTTTCTACTATGGTCCTACATCCCTGGCTCCATGTTTTTATTGTTGTTGGTTGGTTGGTAGATTTTGTTTTTTATTTCTATTATGAGCACCAGTCAAGTTCGAGGATGGTAGTACCAATTATACCACAGGAATTAAGAATATTCTATGGACTACAATCAGAAGTTACACAGCAACTTTTAATCCTACAATAAAGTCTTAAGAAAAGCACATTTGCAGCAATGTGACAATCCATTGTACCTGTTTCCCAAACTTGTCTCATAATAATCATATTGAATGCTTGTTAAAAATAGAAATTCCTAGAATCCATCTCATACATACTAATTTAGAGCATCATACCTAAATTATTTTCTTTAATTTCAGAGAATTACAACATATTTTACAATATAACATTTTAAGTAGTTGCTAAATTATTTCAGAACCTGTTTTAGACCATTTCCTGCCACCAAAATAAAATTATAATGCAATAAAATTGTTAAATACTTGAGAGTTGAACACATCTATAATCCCAGTTTATAAAAAGAAAAAAAAAAAACTCAGTCAAATCAAAACTATCTAATTTTAAACAGTAACAAAGTTTCTTGGTTGCCAAAATTTAGCGCCAAGACTCACTAGTGGTTTGGAGAATTTTTAGTCTTAAGACTTATTAGTGGTTTGGTGGTGCTAGCGAATCCAACCTCAGGGCCTTTGAGTCACTCACCCAGCCCCAGTAGGGAATTTTTTTAAAGTTCCACAGATTAACATGAGGTCCAGCAGCAGTAATTTCATGCTCTGCCACTTAATATATCCCCAGTGCCCAATAACAGTAAATTTTTAATCCATGCTTTATAAGTATTGAATTTTAGGTCTTCTTCAAAAGTAAAATTAATCATAATAGTGAAATTACAGGTAGATGAGATAGTACATAGCTGTAATCCCAGCTACTTGGGAGGCTGAGTGAGGCAGGAGGACTACAAATCCAAAGCCAGCCTGTCTCAAAAATAAGACTTAAAAAGGACTGGGGTATAGCTTAGTGGTAGAGCGCTTGCCTAGTATGTGAAGGCCTGAGGTTCAATCCCCAAGTACCTACCTCCTTTCCCCCAAGAAACAATGATTGCTAACAGGAATGGTGTTTCTTTTTGGTGTATGAAACTGTGGTTATAGTTGTACAATTCTGTGGATAATACTGAAAACCACTGAACACTTATGTATTGTATGGCATGTTAATTATAACTCAAAAATCAGCTACTCTTGGGTTGGATGTGTTGCTCAGTAGTAGGGTGCATGAAAGCAAGAGGCCCTGGATTAGATTGTTAGCACAGGAAAACAAAACAACAACAAAAGGGGCTGAAGATGTACATCAGAGGAGGCTTGGCATGCACAGGCTGTGGGTTTGATCCCCAGCCCAGCAAAAGCAAAAACAGTTACTTTGAAAATAGCTTCTTTCCCCAACTCTGTAATATGTATTAAATAAGAACTCTTAGTGATCATCTATTTGGAATATAAATAAAAACTCTGAGAGCTGGGGTTGTGGCTCAGTGATACAGCACTAGCCTAAAATGTGTGAGGCACTGGGTTCAATCCTCACCACCACATACTAAATAATAATAAACAAAGTTATAAAAAAAGGTTTTAAAAAACTCTATCTGAAAAAAAAGCAGGGTAGAAATACTAAATGTTTAAAATTTTTATGGCTGAAATAGTTTATAAGAAAAACATATTTTAAAAATAATTATTCTTGTTGGGCACAGTGGCACATGCATGTAATCCCAGGAGTTAGGGAGGCTGAGACAGGATTGAACGTTCAAGAACAGCCTCAGCAATTTAGGGAGATCCTAAGCAACTTAATGAAGCTTTGTCTCAAAATAAAACACAAAAAGGACTGGGGATGTAGCTCAGTGGTAAAGAGTCCCTGGGTTAAATCTCCAGTAACCACCCAGCCCCCCAAAAATTCTTATTGTAAATCACTAGTCCTAAAAGGTTAGTATAATTTTTGTTTTTGCAATACTAAGGATTAAACTCAGGGCAAGTATGCTAGGCAAGCACTCTACCACTAAGCTACACCCATCAGCCCTTTTTATTGTATTTTGAGACAGGATCTCAATATTAAATGATGTGTAAGTAAGCATATCTTTTTCAACTTTACACATCCTTCAGCTGAATTCAACTACTGGGACACACTCCTTCACATAAGAGTATGAGCCACGGAAAAGGAACAGCATCTGATCACTCAGAGTCAAAGGATTTTCAAAATCCTTAATTGTCTATTACCAAATGAATTAAAAGCCACATTTCATGGCTTAAATACTTTCAGTTCACAAGTACAAACGTGCAGGGTACAGTTATACAACTGTGTATATGAGGTATACACGAACACTTATTTTTTAAGGGGTTAAAAGGAAAAGAAAAACAGATATCTAAAGGGTGTGGCAACTCATCCAAGGTCACACAACAAGTCAGAACAAAGAGCAACATTCTGGTTATACCAACCTCCAGGGGAAATCTTACCATTTCGCAAAAAGATTGTTGTTTGGTTTTACATCAGAAATTAAAAAAGGGGAGAGGGGACTGTGAACTTAGTTCAAAATTTTACGCAGAGTCTGTGAGATTGCTATTTTGGATAAACACACTTGTGTCAGGAGTGGTTAAGAGCTAAAGAAAACTATCAGTCAACAGTATGTGCATATCTATCCGGTCAGATTGCTTCAAAAAGTCTAGGCGTTCTCCCTCATAGTCGGTTATGAAGGCAAGAAACTTGAGATCTCCTTGGAATGCTGACAGGATAAAAATCAACGGAAATAAAATGTGAACTGTATTGCTTAAAAGGGTAAGAAGGCAGGTTTTTCGGGGAGGGGGAAGGAAATGGGTGTCAAACAAGAAAGGACTACGGATGGCAAAACTAACCTATAGCTAGCTGTTCTAAGTGAATCGCATGCAAACCTTTTCTTCGACCAAACGGAAGTCCACGTTCTCCAGTATAGCTCTGAAAATGGACCCAAAGTTTTCCGTGAAGCTACTTGTGGGGAAGAACAGCAAAGTAGGGCAAAGGTCTGAGTTCCTACGCCTTAGATAGCCCACACTGGGGGAAGAAGTTCCCTTCAAAGGTCCGCAATAGGACCACGTTTGTCTATAGCGTCTGGTCCGGTTATAATGAAATGGACCCCCTCAAACTTCGAAAATCCGGAGTAGAGGAGAGCCGATAAATGCTTACACTGACACACACACGCCACACACACATACACACACACTCGGTCTCTCACTCACGCGCAGTGTGAACCAGTGGGGAGTCGGTGACTCCGTAGTCTCTGAACACCTTCCTCCCCGGGTGAAATCCGCCTCCTCACCCAGTTCTGTCTGCCCGGACCCTCCACTCCCCTCACCTGGCCCTGGCCCCTGCCCCAGAAGAGATGAAAAGCGGCGGCGGCGGTTGCTTCCAACAGGGTCCCCAAGCGACGGTGACTGCTTCGACCCACTGCCCTAATCTACCGCCGCCGCCATGTTGAAAGGTGAGGTCACCCCCGGCGTGCTTCCGTCACCGCCGACGTGGGGGCGGGCCCAGGCCGCCCAAGAGCGACGGAAGAGGGCGGCTCTGTCACCAGAACGGAAGCACAGACCACCGAGGCTTGGGGATCTCTTTGCGCAGACGTAATTGAAAAGCTGATCCTTCCTAGCCCGCTGTTCGCAGGCGTCGCTCAAATCTATGATTCCTGAAGTTGCGGAAGTTCTTGTCAAGTCATTTCCGGTCTTGCAATTCATCGTAAAGAACCAATTCTCCGTCTGCGGGATAAGTTTAGTTCTGCAGACATGTGTTGCGTTTCAAACAGGTGCCAAGAGAGTCTTAAGAGCTGCGGTGTTCTCAGCCACTTGTCGGCAAATGTGGTCCTGTGTTGTAAAAGATTCCCACGGAACGGAGCTGGGATGGCCTAGGGGGGGTCGTTGTAGGCGGAGGGAACGGCCTGAGGGTAGATAAAGGAAATTTATAGTAGTAATACATTTTTGCTCACAGCACTTAGTGCATGGAATATAATTTGTGTTAACGTGTTTTTGTTTATTTGAGTCCAATATTGCTTTAGATGAGTCACTAAAGGCATCTAGGCGACAGGGTATAATACCATACTTTAGGGAGAACCAGTAGGCCGTGGTGTCCTTGAAATGAATTGTTACAGGACATCATTGAAGATTAGGATTTAAGAAGTCCAAGAAAGTGTTAGACCCAGTCTGGTTAGAAGTGATTAAATCCTGTTGAGGAGTGAGTGGGTTTCATTTGGGGTGAGGAAAATATGATAAAGCACTTGAAATTATATGGGGGAGATGGAATTAAAAAGGTTAAGATTGAGGATGTAGCTCAGTAGAGTGCGTGTCTAGCTTGCACAAGTTTCATACCCAAAAATGAAAAAAAAAAAAATAGTAAGTGTGGGCTGGTGTCACAGAGGTGGAGCCGTGCTGTTAATAGAGAAACTATGAAATTTACCGGGGAGGTTTTTTTGTTTGTTTGTTTTGTTTTTTGGTACCAGGGATTGAATTCAGGTGCCCTCAACCATTGAGCCACATCCCTAGTTCTTTTCATATATGTATTTACTTACTTATTTTTATTTTGAGACAGGGGCTCACGAGTTGCTTAGGACCATGCTAAACTGATGAGGCTGGCTTTGAACTGGCAATCCTCCTGCCTCAGATTCCCAGATTGCTGGGATTACAGGTGTGTACTCCCATGTCCATCGAAGAGATATTTTAAGTTGAAATATTAGGAATGAAAAATCAACTGAGGTGTAAGTGGAAGAAAAGAATTGAGGCTAAAAGTGTAGTGTTTTGAAGGAACTGGAGGGAAACCAGGAAAGTGGTGAGCAAGAGAATATGGGACCTGTGGGCACAGAGGAGGCAGGCCCAGGGTGGGCAATGAAAGACCATTACAAGCAAATGGAAGACACTAGAGAGTCACAAATTGATAGTTTCATGCCATTTAGGTTGTTTGGTTTTGTTTTGTTTTTTTGCGGTGCTAGGAATTGAACCCAGGACCTCACACATGGCTAGGCAAGCACTTAACATTGAGCCACACCCCTTGCCCTGGTCATTTAGTTTTTTTGTTGTTGTTTTGCTATGTTTTGCACCAAGGATTGAACTCACTGAGTCACATCTTGTATTTTATTTAGAGACAGGGTCTCCCTGAGTTGCTTAGGGCCTTGCTTTTGCTGAGGCTGGCTTTGAACTCGCAATTTTTGTGTCTCAGGCTCCTGAGCCACTGGCAATACAGAGGTGCACCACTGCGCCTGGTTTATCTAGGTTTTAAATCACTCATTATGCTGTGTGAAAATTTGGTTGAAAAGGAGCAAGAAGCCAGGCATGGTGGTGCATACCTGTAATCCCAGTGGTTCAGGAGGTTGAGGCAGGAGTATGGAGAGTACAAAGTCAGCCTCAGCAACTTAGTGAGGCCCTAAGTAACTTAGTGAGACCCTATCTCAAAATAAAATATAAAAAGGTTTGGGAATGTGGCCCTGGGTTCAATCCTCGACAGGAAAAAAAAAAGAAGAAGAAGAAGAAGTGCAAGCATCTACTTAAGTAAAAGTTACTACTTTTAGTTATAATTTGGCTTTTTTCTTTTTCCTTTACAAATTAATATTTTTTGAGCCAGACACAGTAGCGCATGCCTGTAATCCCAGTGCCTTGGGAGACAGGAGAATCGCGAGTTCAAAGCTACCCTCAGCAAAAGTGAGGTGCTAAGCAACTTGGTGAGACCCTGTCTCTGAATAAAATTATAGGGCTGGGGATGTGGCTAAGTGGTCAAGTAACCCCGAGTTCACTCCCTGGTACCAAAAAACAAAAACAAAACTATTTTTTAGTGTGTAATGCTGGGCATGGAAACCAGAGCTAAGCATGTGTTCTACTGCTGAGCTATACTCCTAGCCCTCTTCAAGAATTCAAGACAAATGAAGCTGGGGATGCAGTGGCACATTCCTGTAATCCCAGTTACTTGGGAGACAGTTCAATTGAAAGTTCTATTCCAGCCTGGGCAGTTTAGTAAGACCCTGTCTCAGAATAAAAAGTAAAAAGGGGCTGTAGGTCAGTGGTAGAGGTCTTGCCTTACATGTGTGAGGTACTGGGTTCAATCTTGAGTACCACATAAAAATAAATAAAATAAAGGTATTGTGTCCATATTGTGTACAACTAAAAAATATTTTTTAAAAGGGGTGGGGCAAACCAGGCGCAATGTAATCCCAGTGCCTCAGGAGGCTGAGGCGAGAGGATTATAAGCAAAGACAAGGCGCTAAGCAACTCAGTGAGACCCTGTCTCTAAGTAAAATACAAAATAGGGCTGAGGATGTGGCTCAGTGGTCACGTACCCCGAGTTCAATCCCTGGTACCAAAACCAAAAAAACCACAGCATAAATAGAAGAGAGTAGAAAGCTACACAAAAGGGAATTAAAAAAAATATTTTGTTTTTAGTTGTAGTTGGACACAATATCTTTATTTTTATGTGGTGCTGAGGATCAAACCCAGTGCCCCGCACATGCTAGGTGAGCGCTCTAGCCACAACCCCAGCCCCACAAAAGGGAATTTTAATTATATCTGTGACATGATGTTTTTTTTCTTGGTACTGGGAATTTAACCTAGGGGTCCATTACCACTGAGTCACATTCCCAGTCCTTTTTATTTTTTATTTTGAGACAGGGTCTCACAGAGTTGCTTAGTGCCTCCTCACCATTGCTGAGGCTGGCTTTGAACTCGTGATCCTCCTGCCTCAGCCTCCTGAGCAGCTGGGATTACAGGCCTGTGCCACTGTGCCCGGTTGATAAATGCAAATTTAGGTGGCCGGTACAAAATATTTGAATTATTCTTAATACTTCTTTTTGTGCCCCAAAGTAGTAATAAGCCAAGATTCTGTTTTCAAAAACAAACAAAGGGGGTCTGGGGCTATGGCTCAGTGGTAGAGTGCTCACCTTGCATGACCGAGGCCCTGGGTTCAATCCTCAGCATCACATAACAATAAATAAAATAAAGGTATTGTGTCCAACTACAACTAAAAAATAAATATTTAAAGAAACAAAGGTACATTGAAGCCAGGGGCTTAGTGGTGCATGCCTGAAATCCCAGTGGCTCAGGAGGCTAAGACAGGAGGATCGCAAGTTCAAAGCCAGCCTCAGCAACTCAGTGAGACCCTGTCTCTAAATAAAATAAAAAGTAGGGATGGAGATGTTGCTCAGTGGTGGAGTGCCCCTGGGTTCAATCCCTGGTATTAAAAAAAAAAAAAAGCACATTGATTTACACAGTGTTACATCTATTTCATGTATTAATTTAATAACAATTTGTGGCACTAGATTGCTGCTCTCTGAAAACCCAGTTATTTGCATTATATTGTAAAAATAGGTAAAAGGAGTGATTGTAATCCAAATGAGTTAATGCCACTTTGTCCTAGCCTAGGAATGTTAAGAGGGAGGCATAATCCTGAAAATCTGTCTTCTAGATTGGTGAAGAATGAAGATAGTAATGTGGAAACTAACAAAATGAGACAGTCTTTTAGTTTGGTTTTAGCTCAGTTGATTTGAACATTGAAGAAGTTCAGTTCAGTTGTATGGATTTTTTTCTTTTTGGTATTAGTCTTATTGTCCTGTGGCTAAATCCTTCCCTTACCCAATTATTACTAGTCTTCTCAAATATGTATACCATTCTTTCATTTCACTACAAGGAACATGTAGACTAGTACAGCTGGAAAGCAATTTGGCAACATGTATTAAGAACTCCTTGCACTATTCTGTTATTGTTAACAGCTTGTTTGAAATTTCTTCAAAATAAAAAATTAATAATACAAATGTGTCTACTTTTGACTCATAATCTACTACCAGGAGTCTGTCCTAAAAATAAAGGAGTTTTTGAAAGGTTTTACCTTTGTAGTTGGGGCAATTTTTTTTTTTTTTTTTTTTTTTTTTTTGGTGCCGGGGATGGAACCCAGGGCCTGCGCATGCGAGTCAAGCATTCTACCAACTGAGCTATTATCTCCAGCCCCATATATTTTTTTTAATATTTACTTTTTAGTTTTTGGCGGACACATCTTTGTATGTGGTGCTGAGGTTCGAACCTGGGCCACGCGCGTGCCAGGCGAACGCGCTACCGCTTGAGCCACATCCCCAACCCAGCCCCATATTTTAAAAAAAAAAAAAATTTGTAGTTGGACACAATACATTTATTTTATTTATTTTTATGTGGTGCTGAGGGCCGAACCCAGCGCCTTGCACATGCTAGGCGAGTGTTCTACCGCTGAGCCACAACCCAACCCCCCGCACACACAATTTGTTAAGAACAAAATATTGGTGAGTTGTTTCCATTTAAGCCACGAAAACAAAATCATAATACTTTATGGTTTGGGCAAAAGTAAAATATTTAAACATTTTTAAAAACGAAAGGGGAGTAAGGCTGAAGAAATTCAAACTGCTCCGATTAATTTTAAATACACGAATTCCTCATTGTCCTTCCCTCCTATGGAAGTCACTCAGGTCTAAACAGAACAGGCGAGGTCACCAGCCAGAATTGTCTCCAGGAGC